CTACTAATCGGATAAATTCAATGAGTATCTTTACCAGGCTTCTATTCAGAAACGAAGTAAGACCTATGATGCAGAACTGAATAAGTTGTTCAAGTTTATAGATATTAATTCAAAGCTCCAGCGTGATCTGGCCATGATCCTGTCTCCGGAAGATTTTCAAAAACTCCAGAGCATGACCAACAGGAAATCACGTAGGATTTCTGACTTAATAACAAAACAGCATGATAATAAATTGTGTAAGTTTGGGATTATAAGAGAGCCTAAGTTAAAGCCAGTACGCTCAGTTGAAGTGGCTTCCAAGAAGACAACAACAACTGATCAGCACGAGGATAGGAGGAAAGTACTAAACTTATCATCACTTCCTCTCAATCAAGGAAACACACGCGTTCCTGGAAAAATGACTCAATTTTTCAATTCAAAATAACAGAAGGCTTCTAGGAGACATCCTGATGGAGGTTGTCAATATCGTCGACAAGTTCCCTGAAGAGACAAAGTGGGAAATGGAGATGGAACCCATTCCAAATATCTTGACACATCAGGAGCCAACACACAAGAACAGATTTGCCAGGATACGCAAAACCCTGTAAACGAATGAATAATTAGTCTTACAGGCGGAGAAAGGAGAAGCGACAGTAATAATGGACAAAAAACAATATACCGAGAAGATGAAATATTCTACGAAACAGGACCACATATCGCATACTAAACAAGGACCCAACTATGTAGATAAATGGAATCTTAAGTGCCGTGCTGAAAGATATGTATAGGAATGGGGAGATTGACGCATGGAGAATAAATTCAATCATAATAAAGGATGCACGACCAACAACAGCATACGGATTACCGAAGATACCCAAACAAGGCAAGCCACTAATGCTGATAGTCAACAACGAGTATGGAGCAACACACGAATTGGCCAAGTTTATATGTTTGAAACTCAAGAAATTAAATGAGAGGCTCTCAAACATGGTGAAACATTCATATGAATTTTCTTACAAAATAAAAAACATGCTATTAAAAGAAATGGACTTATTGGCGAGTTTCGATGTGAACTCGATGTGTACAAATATCTCTGGAGTAAATGTGCTAATGGCCCTGCTGTAAATGTTGGACCGAGAGGAGGATATCCTGAAATCACAACGGATCGGTATGGAGTCGTTAACAAGACTAATCAACTTGACAATAAAGACCATGTATTTTACATTCAACGGGAACATCTATGAACAAATATTTGGACTTCCCATGGGATCACCGCTCTCACCACTTTTGGCAAACGTAGACATGAACAAAATAGAAAAGAGCTTCAAGATGGCACCGCTACAACCGGCAGTACTCATGCGGTACCTGGATGATTACTTCGCACTTTGGCCACATGGAAGAGTTTATGAAGTTTGTAAACCAGATTGATGAAAAAATTCAATTCATCATGGAAGTAGAGGAAGGTGAGTGGTTACCGTTCCTGGATTTTGAAGTGATTCGCTCAAGTGGGACGCTCAAAAAACAAAATTTTCAGAAATAAATCCTATGCTGGTCCCATCACAATAACAGGCTAATGATAGGAATAATGAGAAGCATGATCATCCGAAGCCTACACAATTTGACGAGGATATTCCTCGGCAATAGCTACCCTAGCGTGATACAAAGAAACATAAGGGCCGTGAAAAGCCGATGGCAGAACGGGGACTATGAAAAAACAGTAAGTGGATATGCCCACCTTCCCGTGAACTAACTCAAAAGCTACGTCCAATATTGAGTAAATGGGATATTCAGATGACCATGAAAGAGAAATGAACACTTTTCACAAGTCTACTGACTCAATATGAAAGGATAGACAAATTGGATTGTTCAGGAGTTTACTGAATATCATGCGGCGCCTGTGAACAGAAATATATTGGCGAAAAAGGTGAAAAATTGGCACACGAATCAAAGAACATCAAATGCTCTTCAAGAAAATGGATACTGCAAGATCAGAACTGGCGGAACACATCCACAGACTGGACACGAGATCAATTGGAAGGCAACAGAAAGAAGGGCCCTATTGGGTGACAACATAAGGAAGCGGTAGATAAGGAAGCCATCGACATCCTTGGATAGAAAAATCTAATGAACAGGAGCTTGGAGAAGGGTGGAGTTAGCGACAACTGTGCCTACTAGCTAAGCAAACTCCGGGGAAACAAGAGTAAGATCAGCAAAAAGGAGACGCCTGGATCAAGGATCTACCGCTAACCGGAGGGATCGCGATGAGAAAAGTGGGGGGCGAGGAGTTTCGGCAATCAAGCGAAGACGTTGTCAGTGGGTAATGTCCATTTCGCATAAACTAGTACAACTTTGTGGTTTGGTAGTCAGGGGGCTGGGCGGACGGATAAGTAAACCATCGCAGAAATTGGGCATTATGGCCAAAATGTTGTAGAAATCCACTTGAGATGCCGCATGCAACCAGAGATAGGCGTCCACAGTTTGCTCAGATAACATGAGTTTGATCAAGGAGAGGACCGGTGAAGGGAAGGTGTGATATCTGCAAGCATGGGAATCATAGCTTTGGCGCTCTGCTCACTGAAGCGTCAGTGAACGTGCTATTCGGGCTTGGAGAAATGAAATGCACACTGGGACTGGAACCGAATGAACTCAGTCGACCAGAACGATAAGGAACGGATTTAGGAGACAATGAGCGGATCCGGATTGGAGGCACGAGTCGGATCAGCCGATCGGAGTGAATAGCAAGTGTGATGAGGCCAGGCTAGATTTGCCACAAAAGAGCACACATTTTTAATGAGTGAAATGTAAACAAGTGAGAAGCTGTGATAGGGCGGCAGTCGATAAGAGGGTAAAGAGTAGATAGATAGACACCAAGCAACCAATTCGTCAAAGAGACAAGTAAAGTCAATCTCTTCATAAACATTCTGCCGAAAACGGGATTGACTTACTTGTCTCTTTTGACGAAGCCGTAGCTTGGCACGGAGAATGGCAGGACTCACTGACGATGCCTAAACGTCTGGGAAGGTACCAAATCCACTGTTTGATGATGGGAATCATGACAACGACTATCGCAGACGACTTCGGACTAGCTGCGTTCTTTTAAGTCGGCCCGACAACAAGACCAAGTTGCGACAACGAGGTCAACACACTTTTATCATCCTCTTTCGGATCCTTCCAACCAATTGCTTCTTCTAAATAAACTATTGAGACATTTTTCGAGACTCCGTTTTTCTTCATCCTCTCAGAATGAAGGTACGATTGTAGATTTGGGCAAAGTAGCTTTCGGCCGACTAGCCTATGACCGCGGAGAAAAGTAATTTGGGACAGCATCACACAAGTCAACGCTCTCAGCTTCAACAAGCCTCCTTCGAGTTTTGATTCGACCAGTCCATTCGGACACTTTCAATAAAAAATGAAGACTTCAATTGCATTGATGATACCGGTCATTTGCGAAGGGTCGTCTGAAAGTCATTGGTCGATTAGCTGTGATGATTTGCAAGATAAACTAAAGAGAC